CTATTTGAGAACGATAAATCAAGTATTTTATTTATTTTAAATGAACACTCAAATTAGTAATGTTAAATAAATGTTTTGAAAAACTGTCAAATTTCATCAACGGCAAAATATCCCCTCTATATATAATTTCAGAATGCGCTGAGTCTACCTGACAAACTCTCATCGGAATCCTATTTGGCAAAATATCATACTTTTGAGTTAGGATTGGGTATAAATTAATATTTGTATTAATTGTATTTCATTTCCTGTTATAACCATTGAATTGTGTTTTAAAAGTTGATAACTTTTGTATTTCTTATCGGTTTTACATATATAATATATCAAATTAATCATCTTTTGATGAGTTTCGATTTGACATCCATATTGTATATATAAAATAACTAAATTATATTTATCTTTATAATAACAATAAAATTATTTATTAAAATTAATTAGAAAATAAAATCATTTATCAATTAATATATTTATGTTTAATGTAGTTATATGTTATAAGGTAGAAAATTTATTATAATATAACACATATAAGTCGCACAAGTAACATGTGTCATACTGAAATATATAATAATATATAATCTCTCCTATATTTTTATTATTTGTCACTTTGGCTTAATCGATCATTGATAAAATAAATGTCGTTTTAGATATTTTGTTCATATTTTTCTATTTTTAACCCTCCATCTAATACACAGTGTCTCTTCATATCCCATCTCATAACATCCATTAAATAGAGTTAACATTGTCAAGAAAAAAAAATCTTAATTAGTGTGTTGTATTTGAATTGATATTATGAAGTCCGTTTGTCTTTTACTATATATATATATATATATATATAATAAAAAATAGTAATATTTATCCTTATAAATAAAATTTAAATTTATTTATCAAACTAAATTAAATTATATCAAATGAAACTATAAGTTATATTATAAAGTAATAGAAATTGGTATGTATTATTTTAAAAATTATTTATTTCAAATCTAATTGGTATGTTGTCAATGTAATAAAAATAAATAATTATTTATATAAATTCTAAAATTACATATAAAGTTAAAAAACTGTGAAGCACGATTGATACGACACTTGATGTGTCAGACATCTAATTAAGTAAAAAAATTAATCTATTTTGCTTAATATTAAATAAACATATTCTACACTTATGCATATACTTATCACCATATTATTTCTATTTATTTAATATATATATTTTTATACTTATGTAATAGTAAATAATATCGATATTTTTATATAATAAAAGTAAAAAAATTCGACACGGGTTGACATTTTCATTTAATGTACGAGTGTTTAATTATTATGATTAAAAAAATATAATTTGACAATTTAATTAAAACCAAAAGTAATGTTTTATATATAATTAAATTATTTTAGTTTTTAAAAAAATAAAAAATTTAATATATTTTACAAAAGCTTTCTAATTCGACACCCGTGTAATACATGGGTATTGTACTAGTTATGTAAGAAAGTCCAATGAATATTCCAACGAATTAATTTTAGATTATAATATATTTCCACAAATTATTAAAATCGTTAGAAAAGTCATGAGGGATATTCATACAGAACTTCCCATACAATTATTCTGTATGAATTTTAATTAAACTCCCATTTATTAAAGAAAACAATTTCCTACTGTATTAGGAATTGAGAAATTGGAATACTAAACACACTTTCATATAATATACCATATAACTATATAAGAATAATAATGAAATAAACCACTTAATAGTCACTACACTAACCCATCAATTTTTATTTGTTGAATTAATTATGTATTTGTGCTGGTTGTGAAGCATCTAACTAATTGTTAAATTGTGCAGAAAGGGGTTTACTTCGGGATATGATTCCCCCAAAAAGTGTATGATTATCAATGATGCGGGTGAAATTTAAGCTCCATGTCATTTGGTAAATTTAGTTTACCGAGACAGAATAAGAAATTGATCCAAGTATCGCTACTTTTATGTAGATTCTGAGGAGTCAAGCCATCGAGTTTCTACATAAGCGACACTCATCCCAGTAGCAGAACCAGAATATCCAGGTGGGGAAGTCTATCTAGTACATTTTTCTGATTAAACACTGTGATATTTTTGTTTGTCGTTATTTGCATGAATTATGTGTTTCCCGTTTTCAGTTACAGTTTTCAATTTTCAATTATATACTGGACGGTTGATCACGTACGGTATGAACAGCTATTTTTGTAGTTGTTCCCAGATCAGATATATTGCATGCTAACTAGTAACCTGAGGGGCAATGCCCCGAGGGGCTAAGTAGACAACAGACAGACAGACAGACAAATAGAAATGAGATTAGATGCACCGTCTCGATGGTTGCCAGAACTTTATATGCACCCTAGACGGGTACGAAACCATTATTTATGTATTATATCTGCTTACAATGGTATATTTTGCTTAATTTGAATGTTCGTACTATATAGACTCCCGATGAGCATGTTGATTATTATTATGCTCATTCCCCACACCAACCTTTCAGGATAAGCAGCTGGATAGGTGACACTGGAGGCAGGGCGGCGTGGTTATCAGTCATATGTTTCAGTCATTTATTTTTCGGACATTGCCATTTTCAATTTCAGTATTATTTTCATCAGACATTTAGCAGTCATTGTCATGTTCAGTTTCAGTATTTTATTTCATGTTGAGACATTGCATGTTTGATGATTGAGTATCATGACATTGAACAATTTGAGACATTTTGCGTGGTAGCATGAGTTTATTTTCCATTAAGAGTTAGAATTTTCAGAAATAAAGAGTTATTATGAGTAACGACCCAAGAAAAAGAATTTTCATGTTTCGAAAAAAGTTTAAATTTACTAGAAAATGTTAGTATTTTCTGAAAATCAAATGTGGGTGTTACACAACTAATCTTACCACATTTTTCAAATTTAACATTGGTTAACCAACTAAATTGGTGTAGTAAGCCAGCGAAATTGCGAATAAGAAATAGAATGATCGCAAAATGAAGTTTTTTGTATTCTTCTCTCCTCGATGAATAAAGATTAGAAGAATCAACATCCCCAAATATCCTAATAGATAATTACAACTTGGCAAATAAAGAAATAAGTAAGAGACATAAATATAAAGCGACTAAATAATTTATATTGGTGTCGGGATTCGATTATGTTTATCCAAAAAGGTTATCGCGAGCTCTTCTTCATCATAAACTCGTTTTGAGCGGATATATTTGTATCCAAACACTTTCTTAGGATCCAATTTTTATTGGAACCTATTGCACAAATTTTTATCTCGTGTACAAGATGCTTATGAAAAGTTAAAGTGTCCAAAGTTGCACAAGGTATTACAAATATCGATGATTCAACATGCTTTTATGAAACTAATGGAGGTTGTAATGACAAGGTATTACAAACATCGATGACCCAACATGCTTTTATGAAACTAATGGAGGTTGTAACAAGAAAGGATTAGCTTTTGGCTTTGGATTGGAGGTACCCTTCTATAGCTCTACATGTTTGATTTCTTGTGCGCTCGACATCCAATGTCCTATCGTATCTTTAACTCGCAACCTCTTCGAGAAACTTTACAACAATAATCCTAATGTGTTTTCTTCAACAGTGGCACCCACCAATCCTAATGATGATTGTAGGGCCTAAGATGACTTTAGAGATGATAATGACATCAGATATGACACGGATGAGTTTTAACAGCTTTTGCTTGTTTGTTTAACTTTAATAGTAAATTGTGGGAATGTTTGATTTTGTGCTTGAAGAACGATGATGGTTATTATTATGACTTGAGATATGATAATACTTTTGACAATTATGATTTATTCGTCGTTGTATTGGAGATGGATGATGATGGTTATCATTGTTATATTGTATTTGTGGTTGGTGAATGATATATTGTGGAATTTGTATTTGTTAGCTCATTTTTATTTACGGTCTTGGTTATTTTAGTTCTAGTACTACAAAGTATTATGAATTCATCAAGTATATCTTAGTCATTTATTGAACATATTACAAGATTCTAAAGATTAATTAAATTGATATTTTTATGAAATCCCAACAGAAATTTCCGCTGGAATTCCCTCTCCACATTCCAGTTCCAATTGTAGTATTACCATTAGAATTCCCAACAACCTTATGCTGTTGGAATGGTTATTGAATTATTTCAACAACTAACGAACATTTGATTGGGTGATGAAATATATGTGGAAGTGAATTTCATAATTTAAGCATTTCAATGGATACATTGGAATGGTGATTGAATTATTTCAACAACCAACGAACATTTGAATGAGTGATGAAATATATGTGGAAGTGACTTTCATAATTTAAGCATTTCAATGGATACATGCCATTGGAATGTCTATAGGATTTTCTCATTGGAATTAGCAATGGATTTGGTTCATTCCGCCGTCTAATTTCCAACGGGCAATTTTATGTTTAAAAAGCAATTTCAATGAAAAATGGAGAAAAATCCAACGAAACTTTTATGTTGGCGTGTACCCTTTTTTTAGTGTTGACTTTTAACAATATTTGGTGGCTCTAGCTTCAATTGTTTGACTTTCAAACATTCGGTCATTCTTGATTTTCTTCAATGCAAGTGAAAAAACTAGAATTGATAAACAATTACTTTTGAGTTGTTAAAAGATAGATGAACTAAAATGTGATGTGTGTTTATTACAATCTCCTCTACCCAATTATCTAAACAAATGATGCTAATATATGAAAAAGATCTATAATTTAAGATCAGAATTTTTTTTTTATTTTTCCTCTTTTCAGTCTCAATTCTTTTCCAACACGGTTAGATATACCTAATCATTATGCATAAATTTTTACAATAGTATTACTATTTAATTATAATATAGCATACTTGACAAAATAAATAAAAATAAAAAACTATGTAAAGATTGAGTGAGTANATTATTCAAATTCTTCATGTGCATTTATAAGTTGGAGTATATTTGGTGTACCCTAATTTTCCCCCCCAAATTGATAAACGAGACACTCTTCCCGCCATTGCCCACAGTACGTGCTGCAGTCAGTCAAAGTGACTGAGCACACAACTGCAGACCTCTCTTGCCTCTCTATGTCGTCGCTTCCTCGTCTTCTTCGACGTTAGGAGGTGAACAAACACCAGAAACCCCAAGCAACTGCGCTACTCTAATGGAGGATTCTAGGGTTTTCTCCGATCCGACCCGTTCGAACCGCCTGCAAGCTGGCATCATCTCCAGAATTCGTCTCGAAAATTTCATGTGCCACAGCAATCTAGAAATCGAGCTCGGCGACTGGGTCAATTTCATTACTGGCCAAAATGGAAGTAATCTCTCTCTCTCTCAACACACGCATGAGCGGCAATTCTCCAACCACCACCCACCCAATTACCATTTTTTAATCAAATTTATTGTGTGACTCTGCCGAATTGTAGGTGGAAAGAGCGCTATATTAACTGCACTCTGTGTGGCATTTGGTAGCCGGGCTCGCGGCACACAAAGAGCCAACACGATGAAAGATTTTATAAAGACTGGCTGCAGGTTATGTTTGAGAATTCAGAATAAGCATTTGAAAATGGGTCATTTGTTTTGCACAGACAGGCTTCTCGTGTGAATTGAATTAGTAGTTTGAAGTTCAAGTATTATGTTTGTAGAATTCAAGTTATGAATGTAGTTAGTGTGAGATTATTAACAAATCTCTGAGCATCTTCAATTTATTTAGCTTTTTTGGATTCAAGTTATCTCTACCTGAACATTTTAATTTAATTTTAGTGTTATTCTCATAGAATGAAATATGCTTGATCNGTATGTGAGTTTGTTAACATTTAAACCATGATAAGCATTCTATTTTAAACAAAATGGGGGGCTATGATCGGAAAACACTTTTATCATATTTATGTAGCCATGCTGTTACAACTGTGATGCGATTTGGTTTAAATTTTCTCTTACTGGCTTGACCATTCAGTGTCTTTATACAGTACTATATCGATTTTAACATTTTGAGGTTTCAATAGTTGGTATAATTTCTGTTCTGTAATCTGAAGGTGTTTGAGCACATGTGCAGTGTGCTTACTTGTGAGCTGTCTCTCTGTTGTCAACGGCTTCAATCCCATGTTTACGTTTCTACTTGCTTTTGCTGCTCATGTAAAATGCTGGTCTCATGTTTGCTTTTCTGAGTTCAAAGTTTTATCTTCCAGATCATTTTCTATGAAGTGTTTTGATCCCCTTGTCTAATATAGTATATTTTCCCATATTCTGTGAATTCAAGGAAACTGCTCTAATGGCGTGCACCAATCAATTAGGAGTACAATTCATGCCACACATTTACTAAGTTTTGCATCTACACGAGGATTTTGTTTTTGTTGCTTAGAATGGCTTACTTATCTGATTTAATTATTTGAAAAGCATGGGCTGAACTTTTAGTTAGTAAGTGAGCTTTGCGTGAGTTTATTTTTGAGAACTATTTGATCATCTTTCCCCACACATTTGATTAACATTGCCTACTTCTATCCATTTTCAGTCATGCACTTGTTCGAGTTGAGATAAAAAATCAAGGAGAAGACTCTTTTAAACCAGAAGTGTATGGCAGCATCATAATAGTGGAGCGCAGAATTTCGGAATCAACCAGTTCCATCTCATTGAGAAATAGTCAAGGTTCTATTCACTGGATCTTTTCTCTCCAACTAATGAACCCAAAGGACCACAATATCATTGCAAAACGATAAGCTATCAACCGCTTCATTACGTAAAAAAGACTGGTGTTCCATTTCTCTTTTTCAATGGAGTGATCATGCGTGTTTAGTCTTGCTGCGTGGCTAACATTTTTATCTTTTCCAATTTTAAATCAACAGAACAAGTATTACTCAGTACATGGACTTTTAGTTCCGATGTTTTATGCCTGCTGGTGGTGTTTTTTAGTTTCTTTTCCATTTATGGGAAAAATATGAATGCCAGAGTGTATAAAAGTTATGAATGCAGAGGAAAATTTGTGGAAACCCTTCCATGATTTTTCCTAATAAAATTAGCTGAGTCTATGAATGTGGATAAAAATTTGTTATAACCCTTCCATGACTTTCCTAATAAAAGTAATTTAGCTTAGTAGGTAAAATTGATTCCTTAAGTAAAGGAGGAAGATGAATTCCAAGCTTTGTGGTGTTAAGACTGAGTAAAAAAGGGAAAACTAGCATGGAAATATCCATGAAACAAAATAAAGCCAGCTGCCTGTTATTGAATTACTCTAGTAAGATTTACATCTTGGTTATTTTCTAATTCTAATTCATAATGACAATATTTTATTTTGAGAACAGTGGTTCATTATTCTTTTTGTTATTGTTTTATTAGCCTGCTTGCCTCCTGTCATGAAGTGAGTTCATAGTAGTTATTCTAAGTTTGTTTGCTCCACCACCTTCTAAGGCAACAACCTAAAAGGAGTGATTTCGGAGTCTTTATTGTGCCATTTAATCATAACATGATGTTTATATTATATATTGACATGCCCCCCTTTTGTGAATGTCCTTGTTTGGACCTGACCCATTTTCTCTTTATATTTTACCTTCTCTGTTGTTCAAAGCTTACAGGTTCTTTATTTTATAACATCCTTGTGACTGTTTGCTTTTAGGTAGGAGGGTTGGTACCAAGAAAGAAGATCTTCGCGAGATAGTGGAACACTTCAATGTGAGTGTTGTTGAACTTCCCCCTTTATGTTTATTCATTTACTTTTGAAATTATATCACAACACATAATACCAGTACTTGACCAATATCCAAAACTTTCTCATTCTCCATAATTTATCCAATTCAACCATCTAGAATGCACTCACCCAGATAGTGAATATGAGGAACAACTTAAAAAATCTAATATTCATGGATATAGAAATGGCAGAAGGGACAAAAAAAAGTTTGCAAAACATCTCAGTTACCTTGGCAATTAGCAATGTTCTAAAAGACATTAGGTGCTCGTTAGGCTGCAAGCACGACCTAGAACCTGCCACCTAGCAGGGATTCATTTTCCAAAATATATTATATTCATAACTCTTGTATTAAATAAATTAAAAAATGGCACCGAAAAAAATTATATGGGTGCTTAAGCGGCGCCTGGATTGCCTAGCAGTCTAGGTCGCCACCTAACCAGCCGAGGTGTGACTTTCTTTGTATACTGGTCGCGTGCTGCAAATTTAAATTTATCATTTTTTCCTCAATAAACCTCAACTAACTAGTAGTAGTGGCAAGTAATGGTCGATCCTCGTGAGTAAGAATTAAATTGTGACTAAAATATTCCTTAGAAAGGACCCTACAAACGAAGTCATCGTGAGGAGCTCTGAGTCCGGCCCCTGGTATGCACTAGGAAAATAATAAAAATTGGGGGATTGATTATAAAACTAAAAATAAGAATAATAAAATAAAATAAAAATAAAATAAAAATCAAATAAATGAGAAGTCCAATTTTCGATTCGGCTATCACCCAATCTAAATCTATCGTTAATTAATTTCAACGCCTTCTTTAAATTGAAAATGAATTATACACCCTAGCTAACAACAAGCTAACTACAAGCTCTGTTATTCGAATTTACCCTTACCGAATATTTAATATTTAATCGAGATAAGTTATTCGACTAAACCTTGGACAACCTAGAACAAACTTTCTAAATTTAATACACTAGCAACATTAATTTCTAGGAAAATAGATTAGTCTAAGCAACAGACGCTAAAACTCGGACAATTAAATATTAATCTTATCTTACGTTCACGCTGCCCTAGAGATGCGCGACTCCTAGTTTACTACTAACGAAACGAGAAAATAACAATTACAATTATGAATATTCAAATTAGTCGGTCTAACTAAATTAACACCCATAATTCATAAATAATATACCCAGATAACATAAATCAATTCATCAACAAAAATAAATACGGCGTCTAAATTAACTTGATAAGTAAATTTCTTCAGTTTATAGACAAATCAAAGTTAGGGTTCAAAGATCTCCTAAAACTAGATAAATATAACTAGCCTAACATAATAATAGGAAATAAATAAGAGAGTAGAATTATCCTCTCGTGTGTAAGCGCGACTTCCCTTCGCGTGTGTAGCCTCTTTCTCTGTCCGTACGTTCCTCTATGTCTGTGTGTGAGTCCCGTTACTCTTTTCTTCTCTCTCTGCATGTTCTCGGTTTTTTATTTCTGTGGGAAATAATTTCCTTCCCTGTGGCTCTCTCCACAAATAAATCCTCCCTCAAAATCCTGAAATTAACAACTCTTCCAAATCAATTTGCCCAAAAAAGAAAGTCTCTTTTTTTTCTTTGACCAAAACGTGACCAGCTCCAATTTGCTCCCTTAAGCCAACAAATCAAGTGATTCTTTTCTTTTCAACATAAGCCCCAATCACATTATTAAAATCAACCAAGCCCACTTTTGACTACAACATAATAGGAAAGATTTGGGTTTTTCTTAATTAAACATTGTTGGGCTTAATTGACCTGGTACGGGGGCCAATAATGACTCGCGTGAATTCTCATCTAATGCTTCGGATCCACAAAACTCTCCCAATATGCTGAAAATAAAAATAAAACACCAAATAAAATAAATTCATCCTAATAATAAATAAGTCGAAAAATATAAACGTGCCAACAAATTAAGCGTATAAAAATACATTGTTAAATATATAAAACGTGCATATTTTTCGACCTATCGGACTGCCTAGGCATTGCCTAACCCGCCTAGATGTCAACTAATCTCCCGAGCGCCTAGAAGGGCTGATGAAAATCGGGGCGCTTGAGTGGTACCTAGCATCTAGGCGTACCCCGATTTTGAGAACTTTGCAATCAGTGGTGTTCATGTTTTGTCTTGTTTTTGCTGTTATCCATCTTGTTTGATCATAAATAATTAAATATAACTTCAACTCTTAAATTTTACAATTTCGTGCTGTGTTGTGCATTCTTGTTTCAGACTATAATTGTGGTTCTAAACATTTTGTTCTACCTTATCATGTTACCTGTTGCCATCCCTAATCCATTTAGCCTTCCACGGATAGACTGGTGTTGGTTAATTTAGTGTTTTGATGTTTCTATTTATTTGGGAAAGGAACTCTCATGTTCTAACATGTATTTGTAACAATTGTACATATTGTTTTTCAGTTTTATCATGACATTTGGTTAAAGTACATCCTGTTTAACCTAACCAGGTAGAATTTCTGCTTCAATTTTATCTCTATTGCTGTCTGCATCATTTTTACCATTTTATCTCTCAAGTTATCTAGAACATATCCACAGGATTTTATGCTGTGGTAAAAGTTCATGTATATGTATAATAGTGACCGTCACGTAACGGACGCATATTTTTCTGTTAAAAAATAATGCAGTGTGACTGTTTACAATGCCATCTTACTGTTTTATGAAAGAAATTGTTGGTAGCTAATACTATGTTGGCGGATACACTCACTCTGAAGAGTGTGTGTGATTGAAGAAAACTTTAGTTGCATGATTTAGGAATTAGGATCTTTTCATGCAATTTTGAATAGTATGGTACCGTACAAGGACTTCATTAATCACAATAAATTTGTTTGCACCCTGCTTTGTGAACATGGCCAAAAAGCCCTAGTTGTCCCCTTGTTTTAGCGTTAGATGGATCACATTGTTTTTGGTATCTATAAGTAACCAGCTTGTAAGTTTAAGGGTTGGTGTTTTAATTCTAACCATTTTTCTTCCAAATTTGGAGATAACGGCTTCTAAATTTGAGAAATAGAGGCAGATTCATAAAGGTTAACCATGCGTTATGTCAGGATTAAGAGTTAATTGAACCTAAATGTTGAATATTAACAAAATTAAAAATGATGATCACCCTGGATCTTATACTTGTTCACCTATTTTTATAGCTCAACCGCAGGTGTACGACTTCTTTTAGAGATAGTGGCAAGCAACGTCGTATCCGTAATCCGTTAGAGACTAAACAATTATTGTATCAAGCACTAGATTATAATAGTGTCAATTTGATTTAGATGAATTATACCCACTAAAAAAAAATTAACAATTAGAAAATTAAAGACACAGACAACAAAGATAAAATCAAGATATGGAACTAGATGCTAAGGTATGCCTTCCATAGATTCTATCTCAAGACATTATCTCAAATTCAACTAATTTCTACCCTATATGAGCAATCACGAAAATATATCGATCCCTCTCCCAAGGCAATTAAATTGTTGATTATCTATTCATGTCAATAATTTTTGTGGAGCTTGAAATCCGGATGTGTGCTGTGGATGTGGATATAGGTGTCGGTTTCTTGTGTCATTACTCCAAGTTAGTTATATCTGTCTTGGTTCAGTGTTTCTTGTGCCATTGCAGATGGACAAAATCTGGCTTAATTTTCTGGTTGGCTCAATTTTCTGGTTGTGATATTTTGTTCCAGCGGTTCCATAGTTTGTCTCCACAAAGCAATAGGGTTATGATTGTTTACCCACATTTGGACTGTGCCTATGTAGATTGATGTAGAGAATCCATGTGTGATCATGACCCAAGACAAGAGCAGAGAATTTTTGCATTCTGGAAATGCGAAAGACAAATTCAAGGTAATGTTCCTCTTCTTCTACTTCTTCTTCTTGCGTGATAGTGATTGTAAGTTTTGATTATACCCAGCATGTAACGCCATGTTTACAGTTTTTTTTCAAGGCAACTCTACTGCAACAAGTGGATGATCTCTTAAAAGGTATTGAGAAGCAAGTAAATGAAGCGAAGGCAATGGTTATGCATTTAGAAGAGTCGCTTAGACCAATATTGAAAGAAATTGACGAATTGCAAGAAAAGATAAAAAGCATGGAATTTGTGGAAGAGATGTCACAACAGTTGCAGTTGTTGAGGATGAAACTAGCATGGTCTCATGTTTATAAGGTTGAAAAATCACTTGAAAAGAAACGCAAGATGATTGAAGATCAGAACAGGAATATATCCAACTTGCAAGCACAAATTGATCTGAAGCATGTAAGTTGCTTGATGTGGTGCCGCTACAAGAATTTTGTATCTTTTTCTTATCTGTTTGTTTGTCTTCACTCTTCAAGCATTTTGAAATTTGAAGCATATTCTATATCATCGTTATTCCCTTATTAACAACCAATGAGTAATGGGGATTGGCTCAGAGGAGCTATGGAAATTTGACTGAGAGAGTGGTCAAGAGAGTAATTGGCTTAGCTTTTAGCCCCTGTATAGTTGGAGAGGGGGACAAGTGAGCTATACTTCCTAGATTTTGATCATCTTTCGACTTCTTTATGGAGATGATCGGCAAAACCACCTTCTTCTGTGTTGTATGCTCCTTGCCCCCTCCCCTCCCCCGAATATAAGATCAGGCAAGCAGGGGTTGTTGGTGCCTGTAGATGCTGGTTCCGCTACAGTCGCTTTTTTTACCAAATTTTGCCCGAGTGGTTTTTTTACCAGAATCTGATCATCGGCTTGGCTGCCTGAGAACTTTTGATTGCTTGATTTTCAGCGCAAGGTTGAAGAAATGAGTGATCAATTGGCCAAGAAGAAAAGTCAAATATTAAATATGATGGATAGGACATCGGAAGTAAGACGGATGAAGGAAGATCTACTGCAAAGTTGTTCAACTGTAAGATGGCTAGTAGATAGTTTCATTTTTCCTTTTTATTATGAACAATCTCTGCTTTTTGTAGATGGATTAACTTTCTTGGATTATCAAATATTATAAGAACTTGAGGTTATCTATTGCACAAATTTCCTGGATTTCTTTGTTGTAAGTCTCTTCAATTTTCTAGACTCTTGATTCTAGATTTCTTTCTCCATGTAATACCTTTTTAGAAACTTTCTTATCTCTCAAGTTTATGTTGATTGAAACTCGTTTTCTAGTCAGTTTTCTTTGTTGCTTTCTTATGTATATTTTTTTCGTGTTCGATTTCTTCTACTCTCAGCATTGTCTTATAACTCAGCTACAGTTTTGCAGTGGTGTTACATTTGAGATTAAGATCTATATTTTTGGATTTTGGTTTTAGGCTGTCAAGGAGAGGGTCGAGCTAGAAAGGGAACAAGACCGCATAGCTCGGCAAATTCAACAGATCAATGAAGAGGTCAAATCGCGTGAGCAACAGATTCATGATTTGCAAGAGCAGTTTGCCAAAACTACACAAGTAATTTAATATACTTGGCTTTTTTTCACCTCAGTTTTTGTGATGCTTCACCTTTTTTTT